AGACGTTACAAAAGCAACCGGAATTTCTTTCGAGATCCAATAGAAAGTCAAGGCTAGGAAGTTATAAATATTTTGTTCGTTTTTGCTCGAAACTAGTAATCTTTCTCGCGTCCAATCGAATAACACGAACGTCGCGAGAAAATCAAGGTGCATACTCTTACTACGTAACTGACGACGTCAATCAAGGAGAATGTAGTAATTGCAATAACCGCATAGGCTACGGATCGCCACATTCTTCTAAATATTCTACGCGTTACTCAAAGTCTCGTACTCAACTTGCCCCATTTCGAGCCATTAGTTCGTTTAATAAAGTTAAATGAATCAGCAAAATTATTTTGTAAGTACTACGTCAGTTGTTTGACCCGGAACACTGTTCAGAGAATTATACGTAGGTATGTAGATAAATTCTGTTTCTCAACTTGCGGAAATGCATTTTGTTTTTACCTACACCTCTACTTTTTTAAACCCAGGCATACAAAATAAAAAGAAAAAAAATTACACGATTCAGTAAATCTATCATTGAAGTACCATAACATTTAGTCTACCTGGACTACTCTTACAACTGTTGAGTTACAACTGCAGGTAAATACTGTTACGAAAGAAAAAAATTCTTTGACAGTGAAAGCAGAAGTATATGACGCGCCTATGACCTTCGTCAAATATTAACCATGATGTAACATACAATAAATTATTAATGATCTTCGTCTATTTTTTTAGTCTATTGATAGAAGAAAATTTCTTTAGCAGCGAGAAATAATTTATTTAACTCTTTGGGGCACAGTGGGATTAAAAGTGTCATTTTTAATCCCACCTGGAAATTTTGCAATAGCTGCATCTGTATAGGTTTATATTTCGTCTTCTTTACGTAAAGCAGTTGGTAATATATTCATCCAATGTTACAAATGTATGCACGCAAATGTTGGCAACTTTCAACATGCTAATACCGGTATAAAAATTAGTTCTATATAAACAAGTGAAGTGCCCCTGTACTTAAGGCAAAATATGTACTTTAATAAGTACCCTTCGTGAACCTATGTGGCACGGTGGGATTATTTGAGTCCCGCCCTCTAACAACAAATTCGATTAAATAATTATTATTTTGTTATTTTATGTTATTATTATTATGTTATTTCTAGTTATGTAATTTTATATTATTTTGTTATTATATTTATTCTGTTACGTTACGTGATACCTTTATTAATAAAAATATAACAATTTTGTTTGATTTCAAACGCAATAAAATTCCTGTGCAACATGGGTCTATTTTATGACCTGAATTCCTGTGCCGCAAAGAGTTAATGCTATCGTTATAAAAGTAAATTCCCCTTTTCCACCAAGAGACTATAAGGGGTTCATAAATAAAATCAATAATTTATTATTAGTAGAAATTACTTCTACTTTTTCCTTCATCGTGCCCTGGCGCAACACTTTCTTTCCTTTTTTTTTATTTCGAATCGCAGAGTATGTATGGCCAGGTCGATGCTTCATGTCTAAATCGAGTGTCAAAAGTTATTACGTTGTTTTTTGTTTAAAATTATTTATAGATCGGTTTAATAATACTACCAGCGTCGAGATTCGTGAGTGCTCCACGTGGAATACAAACGTTACGATTATTAATATCAAAATGTTCGGAACGAACTCGCCGATACTAGCCGAGCCCATTTGAAGTCGAACCACGCAACGAACAATTGAATTTTTTTTTCTGAGCACTGATCGCTTCAATGGATATAAATTACTTCCTGGCCGAGCGTAATCAATTTCACGGTGTAAAAATACGCGATGATAGATGAAAATGATATTCTATTTCGTAAACGCGTACTTTAAAAGCGTTAACGACGTAATTTGTTTTTAATTACCGTGGATTAATGGACATCTTTCTAAGATCGATATTATCGCGTCACTGCATCCTGATACAAGCCCGAGAAATAGCTACAGGCGCGCTGTGACACAGTTTTCAGTGGAGAGATACACTTGCCGTCGGCGTTGGTGTTTATGGGACGCAACGTGGGTATACAAAAATATAGAAGTACGTGCACAAATTCATAGATATACAGGGTGTCCCAGCCTTAGTGATACAGCGCTCTAACTCCAAAACTATCGGTCGAATGCGAAATTTCAAATATGGAAATTTCTTCTCGCTGAAACATGAGCCCCACTTTACCATGAAATTTTCATGTTTGAAATTTTGCATTCGGCCGATAGTTTTGGAGTTAAGGCGCTGTATCACTAAGGCTGGGACACCCTGTATAAAATATGAAAAATTAAAAGACACAGATCATTTAAAGAATGGTTTATCAGATCAGATTTTCGATGAATAGAAAAAATGAATTACTGAGAAAAGTAATTAAGCAGAAACTGAATCGTCAATGAGATGATAAAATATGCAAGTTTTGTCAATATTCAGACGTTCCGATTCTCGTAAACAATATTTATGAACTGTATGAAGGTCGTTCTCAGTTTTTAGTCAATACAAAAGAAAAAATGGCTTTAAAACGTTTATGAGGTGAATTCGACTTGCTAAATAATCCGAGCTGATTGATCATTATCTCAAGTATCAATATTTTTGCCAACACTGCAGTAGTGTGAATGGATCCACGGATTAATTTATACTAGAGCTGGTTAAGATGGATATTATACTCGATATAATATTTATTGTTAGAGATTTTTAAATTCTTCCAATATAATTTTGATAGCTGTGATTTATTATGACCATAACATTATTTTAAAAGGGATTAAGACATTGTTATTGTGTATTGTTAAACAATTTTAAACTGTTTACTGTACATTCTCCATTATTTTTAATTTAACGTCAATTATTGTTGCTACCCTTTACATTGAACTTTAGAACTACAGTATAAACCCGATAATACATTTTTCTTACTAAATGAGATTATATTAAGACTATATTCATGAAACGAATAAATAAAACTTCAATGACACGAGTTGTTTGGACATTCAATATAGCAATATATGGTATCCTCTTTCCACGCACCTATCGCGAAAAATAAATTGTACGAGGTGAATGGCTCAACGCGTTTCCTGCTCCAGATACAAGTGATCCTTGAATGTGTCATCGAGTACAGCCTTGAATACATTCATTCATCTGCCTCTGTCGAAGGTCAGACTTGTTCAAATTTCAAAAGGCTCCTTATAAATTTTTTTGTTCAACCAGGTCATCAATGGTAAATGGTAATCGAGTGCAATGACATGTAGATTACATCTATATTACATATAATTAATAATAAGGTCATTGCTCGTAACTGCGTCAAAAGACACGATTTATATGTATGTGACAACTGTTTGCACGGCTTAATGTTTACGTTAACCGATGTATAATTTCTCTACGCGAATGCAAACACGTATTTAGAATAATTTAATTTCAAATTAAATAGATTGATTAATTTAAAAAAAAAAACTAATACATTTATCGTCTTGATACGACAGAATACTCGTTTTATTCGTATAACTGCAGCTCATTCACTATACAGTGACGTAACGGTTCATCCATATAAAACACTCAATTAACTTCGTTTTAAGATAGGGTAAAAACATGAACGGTTTTACAACCCGAATATATACATATTTTTAAATATGGCGTCTCGTGGGAAAACTGTATTAGCTATAGGCACGTTAATCTTTGAAAAAAAAAAAAAAACCTCGGTTGCTCTGACAAAACAGTCCAACTCGATTTAGTGCAGAAATAGGTAAAATTCCTATTTAAATACAAATACGCTATCAGTTCAGCAGAATTGAAATTGTAAAACGAAATATTCCACCGTGTGCCAATAAAAATTTTACTTTTCAATCAAATAAACGTCACACGTAAATTCCTATGGAATCAATTCTTCTCGCCATCTATTATTCGAATAGAATATTGCCTATCTCTGCGGCCCTCGGAGTTGGATACATTTTCTTTCCAAATACTGATTATAAATTTCAGGTTTATTACAGTTCTTAGTATCGTTACGTGTCGAAATCAGAAAATCTGTACCGTAAAGGGTTAAAATCTCGAAGACTCGATTCGTCGAATCTTTAAGGCTCGTTCTCACATCACGCATTCGTAAACTAGCTTTCGTTGACGACTTCGTCTCCATGGATGTCAATTTAACAAAATTCGTAGATGTATTCTAACTTGCGAATGAAACGGAAGCTAGTTTACGAATGGCTCTGTAATTTGTATTCGTTTAAATTTGACCTCTCTTAAGCTGGGAGGACCAAATCACCAGAATCATATCGGACTTTCTGGAATATTTAGTACTTATTTTCTACTAATTTGTACCACCAACGATAATTTTGTACCTCGTGCCGTTTTCCAAAAACTCATAGCGCTGCTAGTTTAACGTTAAGCTAATGGCTGACAATGTTAAAAATTAATATAAATGAAATAATCAAAACGGATACATTTAGTACTCAATTTTTACTAATTCGTACCACCAAAAGAAATTTTGTAACTGTTATCGTTTACAAGAAAATCGTGGCGCTGCTAGTTTAACGTTAAGCTAATGGCTGACAATGTTAAAAATTAATATAAATGAAATAATCAAAACGGATACATTTAGTACTGCATTTGTACTAATTCGTACCACTAAAAGAAATTTGGTACCTGTTACCGTTTTCAAGAAAATCGTAATATTAATATTAAGCTGGCAGCGCCACGATTTTTTCGTAAACGGTAACAGGTACAAAATTGCTTTTGATGGTACAAATTAGTACAAATTCAGCGCTAAATGTATCCACTTTAATTTGTTCATTTTTATTGATTTTGACATTTAGTCCTGCTAGCTTAATATTAAGCTTAATATAAGCTAGCAGCGCCACGATTTTTTCGAAAACGGCACGAGGTACAAAATTATCGTTGGTGGTGCAAATTAGTAGAAAATAAGTACTAAATATTCCAGAAAGTCCGATATGATTCTGCCGATTTGGTCCTGCTAGTTTAAGAGAGGTTTTAATTTGCTTAACTCTGACCTAGAGTGTTAGGTAGTTTTCGATAGACATACCTTGTTGAAGCGAGCTTGCAGAAGCCGCTCATATTGGTCAGCAGCACGAAGACAGAGCCGCGTGGTGAACGCTTCCATTCGTGCTGGAAGGGGCGCGTGGCAAACACTGCTTGACATTATTCTTCCCTTCGGGCTGACACCGGAATACGCACGCAAGTACGTACAATGTGTACAAATAAAATCGTCACTCCGCTACGCACCAACGTACGCACTTAAATTGCGATTATCTTTTGGACGCGAGCTAACCTCAATCGACGCTTACGAGCTCGACGCGTCGTCTAGGCGTGTCCTCTAATATCCTATTCGACGATAATATCAAACACGGATACAGATCGGATCACTTTCACACGTGTAGAGCTTTTACTGTTACCCCTTTCGTTCAATTGATCCCGCGACCGTTTACAGATGCCACGAATAGATGCTTTCGAATAACGCTGCTTTCACACCATAGAAATCGAAGCCACTTCACGCAGTACGTACGAGCAAAAGTTGCACGCGAGAGTTCTGTAGTCGATAGTCCTTCAATCCATTTTCTTCCACTGTTATTCGATTCGTATCTCCATACAGCTGCGAAAAACGAGCACTTTACACGACGACGATGAAATTTCAAATGTTACTTCGTGATTACAGAAGTCGGATTTCGTAGCGAAGAGTCGATAACTTTGAAATGGAAGAAACGAGAAAACGTTGACGAGAACGCACACGCGTTGCGTTGACTGAAATACCCTACAGAGGGTGTCTCGACGTTCTTCGTGATTGGTGGGGATGTTTGTTAATAGATTATTAACAATTTTTCTTCGTTATTGCTTCCGTGCGAACCAATTTTACATGTCGCAGCAAGTTACTCTCTCGACGTCTCAATGTGTACTGGTTAGCAGAGAGAGAGCGCCGTGTAGTTTTATCGTCACGACAATCCCCCCCACCCCACCCCACAATTCCGTGTCGACGTCCGATTCTCGTTCTCGATTATGCATGCGTATACAATATCTAAAGCCGGAGGCTCGAGCGGGACTATTATTCGGATCGCAGACCCTTTTCGCAAATAGTGTTAGACGTGAACGGGTCAATTGTCCATTATCAAATCGAACGAAATTAGTAAAAAGCAGATTGAACAAATTTAAATTTGAAAATTTGTATATGTATATTAATATATTATATATATTATATATATTATGTATGTATGCATAGTATATTGATATATATGAATATATAATATATATATTCATAAGTATATACTATGTATAATAATATCTTTTAATAAAATTTGCAAAGTCCTTTTGTTATTTGATTTTATGTTTGTAAAAAATTCTATTAATAGGTGACCTACATAGAATATGATACGTTGGAATATAATTATAAATATTGCCTGGTGAAAATAGATTAATCAATAATGTCATGTAGATAATTTTTACTAATAATGAAAGTTTCGATCACACTAGCCTCTAGTCTTCTTTAACGATACAGAGACCATTTATTTTATGATACATATAATGAAGAAATGTGTGATAAGCAATATTACACAGTTTTATAATAATTTTACCAAGCAAATCGCTGAAGAAGATCAAAATTGATCTCGTCGAAACGTTCATTGTTAATACAAAATAAACGATACATTTGTATCTACATTATTTAATATAAGTAATATAAAGTGACTAAATAATAATATTAATGACATTAAATAAAATATAAATAATATTAAATAATGATGTACATCCACAGTATACATTTTATACATATGAAATATGATTAAAAGTAATTATTAATACTAGGAAGACGCTTGTAATAATTAACTTTTTATCGTGTCTCTTTGTAAATGAGTATTTAGAAGGTAATTACATGATTATAGCGTAAAAAAATATATATTAAAATGATGTAATACATATTTAGTTAGAGATAGTTAAGTTTAGTTACATAATTTGTCATAAATTATATGTTTCCGTACCCCATGTTGTAAAGTTGTATTTTTTTTTTTTCACTACTAGTAAATCTGCTTTAAAAGTATATTAATAAAGTAATGAGTTCTTAGATTGTCTTGTCTTCATGAATGAAGTGATATTATGTGTCCAATTAGAAAACTATTTTTTTTCCGGTGACCTTAAGGTTCTTTATCTTCACTCTATCTGCTCGGAAACGTGGATATTCACGCGGTCACATGCTCAAATTTACGTAAATACGATTTAAATTAGACGCATGCGTTGATAACTGGTATCATCGCGCATTTAGATTGCACTGAAATGACCGCCGGTTAGTCCTCTTGCTTTATTAACCTTTTCAACCATCGAAATTTCTGCTCCAATTGGTATTTTACAATCGTTGAATAGTTATTCAACGATTTCATTGTCAATATTCAAATGTAACATATTAAAAAACATATTATACTCCTCTTGAAACGAGTATGACTTTATCTCTAGCGTCATTTACATTTTGCAAATTGAACAATTGAAAACTGTTGTTCACCTTTCTCTAAATGAGATGGCGAACGATAATTACTGTTATTTTACTTTATCGCAAAAACGGTTACTGATTTCAGACTTATTTCTCAATTATTCCGGCTTTCAACGTTTTAGAATTCATTCTCTTTCCGATTTCTCTCTGTCTGGAAATTACGATGTTCAATCGAACGTATAATCTATGCACACGACAAACACTCTACGACGCATAAAAGAAAGAAAATAAATAAAGTCAGATGGGCAATTCACGTAAATATGGTAATTAATCCTTATTACGTTATGAATACACAATAGTACGGGCTAGCTAAAAATAGCAGTCCGCTAGAAACAAGAAACGGTACTTCTCGACGTTTCTCGTCGAAGTTCTTACAATCTTTTGCATTGCATAATAACCGAGTTATGCATTTTCCCCCGTGTCTTCAGGGTCTAGGATCGACCGGGGAAATTTATGAATCATCCATTTACATGTGTCTTGCGTTGAATCGAGCGGACATTAATTAAATTAAAATAGACGTATCGCAATAAATACGTGAAAAAAATTCGAGTAACATCGGGTCGCTTAGTATCGATTTGTAACGTTAAATTATTTATGTCCCATTAATATCCGAAAATAATTCGCACGAAAGAGTCGACGCGTCGTCATCTACGATATCGCTATTAGGCAAACGCACGTTTGTTATGTAAATACGTTAATTGATTTATTTATGACATAATCTTGAAATTGCCTTCGCCTCGAGCGATACCACTCGGCGATATCAATTACAATTTAAACACTGGAATTAACTTAACACGTACACGTATCGTGGACAGTCTTTCATTCACGTGACGCTTCATTTTAATACATACGAGCTTTACACAGCGTTTAATCTTCCGCACGCTGTACGTTCCATCATCGGTTTCGTCTCGATAACTTCATTTTCCACTGTTCTCGAACATCAGACACGGCCTGGAGGGACATTCTGCTGACGCAAAACGCCTTATTGCGGTGAAAGTCGGTGGAGCGCGACAGTTACTTTTACGATTCACGTGGGAGATTTGGGAAACTAGAAACGGCTCGCGATGGGAGAAACTCGTGATACCTACGTTTTCTTTTTTAAATAGAACAATGTCTCGTCCCATTTAACCCCATCTCCTTCTGTAACGAAATATATCGCGAACGCAATCGAACAGGATCGAACTGGAATGCATAATATTTTGTTGTCCCACTTTTAGATTTCCGTTCCGTGCCGCGTTAGATGACTTACATAATGATCTTCGAATCAGACATCTACGTGAAATAATTGGAAGATCCGCAACGTTTCACTAATGTACACTAAACGAGTATCTGAATGCACAAATTAACGCTCTCGCCGATAACGGAGAAGTCAGGCGAATATTAGAATTCGCCACTATGCTAGTGGCTGAATTATCAAAAATATCGTAATTATTCTAAAGGAATACCGATGAGTAAAATCAAATCTTCGGAGGAAAAAGGAGACCTCGTTGCAAGAGAAGCGACAACCATGACTACAAATAATGAAATAGAAATCTCATACCAAGACTTGATTACAAGAATACAACACACATCGAAAGAAGAATGGAATAAAATATGGAACAACAAAAGAACAAAAACTCACAATATAACGCACGACTTTTACCAAACAGTATCCCAACACTCCATGACCAGGAGAGAAAAAATAATAATGACTAGATTGAGAACTGGATATTCAAAAATCACACATGAATACGTATTAAAGAAAACGGACCCTCCCCGCTGCGACTCCTGCAATAAGGAAATCACAACTGACCACCTACTATACGAATGCAGCAAATTCGATCAACAAAGAAGGAAGTATAACCACAAGAAACAGCTCTAACATCCCAGGAACATATGCAAAATACCATCAACTGCCTCAAGGACACCAAACTCTACAGTAGTATATAATACCACCAGAAACCCAATCAAATTCGTCGCTAATTACCATGCAGTAGTACGACGTAAAATAAATCCATATAAAAAAAAAATATCTTCGGGAACGTGCCTACAAAAATTGAACCTAAATACGAATTTATTTTGTTCTGCTAATATTACAACATGAACTTTACTTTCGATCTTTTTTATATTTTTGCATATTGTTTGCATTTTGTAGTTTCTTGCACATTCAAATTTCCTATAAATGCATAAAGATCCGCAGTCTACTGATGAGTGTTGTTTTCACGCATACTAACTAACATACATCAAATTTGCTAGTCAGCTTTATACAGACCAGTTGTAAACAAAAGAAACTTTTGGATATAGTGACGTTTTTCAAGCGAAAGGAATTGTTATTGCTCTTATCTATCGCAAAGTTGGTATTGTATCGTGTCACCTTCAGATTTAATGACGTTTCAAATGATCTAACATGACATTAACTGTTTCGTACAATTTACGGTCTTAGTAAACCAAATATCCTTAAGGCTTAGCTTTAATATTTGTTGACTACATACAAGAGAACCTGTAGATATGAGCAAAGTTGCCACCTCCAGATCGTGAGAAGCCGTGAGAAATAAAATAAATAAGTTACTTTAAAATAGAATTTAATGTTCAATGTATATTCATTTGTACCTTTTCTTGGACGATTTTAAACGACCTTTGGCCTCTCATTTTTTCCTCCCTGCATTAAATTATCAACTTGTATTGTCGTGTGAAAACGGAAACTTCTGCTATTGATTATTGCTTCACGCTTGGTATTCCAGAAGTTAACTTAGTTTTTGGCGATCTTTTAGATTAATATAAATGAGAAATTAAATATATGAACCAAAAATATGAAAAACGATAAACGAGAGACGTAACATGTTCAAGGTATACCAAGTCATCTACAGTAAATATATGTTATAAAATATAAGAAATAAAAAGAAACACGTTACACCATTAAGAAGACAAGACATACTTTAGTTTACATTTTTTTTCTCTATTTGTGTATATAAGAATACAAATTTGCATAAACATACTCAGTCTACTGATTATAATCTTATTATTTTATAAGAAAAATCATTTCAAACGTAAAATTATGCAAACTTAATCTTCCTTGTAGTATTAGGTTGTCCCAAAAGTTTCTTTCGCTTTATTAATAAGTAATACATGCACAATAGTTTACGTTTTCTGTTACATTACTGAATTGTGCAAGATTCATTTTGCTCCATTACTGTTACAACATGAATAAGTATAAAATTAGATTGTCTATTTATAGAAACACGATCACATAAAATAATTGAGTGCAACTCGCGAAAGAAACTTTCGGGACAACCTAATACTTAAATTTATTTAATGAGTTATTACATAAATTAATTTAGTAAATGATAATAGTGAGGGTATGATAAAATTGATAAATATCTTGAAAAATTAAAAGAAATCTACATAAACGAAATTCAAATCTGGTAAATGAAAATGAACAAAAAATTTCAATATAGAATAATTGTAATCTACATAAGTTGTAAATTACTCGTCAGCTGCTAGAGCTCGTGTAATTCAAAAAACGTTAGTTCTCCTGATTAGATTAAGAGCCGTTATTTCATTGAGAAGACGAAATATTTTTACTTTAATCTAAGAAGGCCAAGACATTTCATAGACCCTAATAGTTGCATCAGCCTATTCCATATATGG